GTTATGAAGGAAACCACTGGATTAAATTGTCAGGTCTTTATGTTTACAGTATCTGGAATTTTAATCAACTTTTAAATATGAGTTAGCCTTGAAACAATTACAAAGATGTTTTAGATTTGTGGAATAGCTCTTGCTTAAAAAACAAAACAACAAATCTCGATGAGCAGCTTTTGGTGCAGTGTATACATTCCACACTACCCAGGATCTTATCATTAAGTCACCCAGTTTTTTGAACAAAAGCTGCTGGGGTGGGGTCATCTCATTTCCTGCCCTTCCCAGAACTGGTTGTTGCTGGCTGGTTTGTTCCAGTTTTACTCTGACTGCAAGAAAGTCTTTCAGCTCCCACAACCTCTCCTACCTACCAGTTGCTTTCCCTAGACTTGCAAAGGAGAGTGTAGATGAGGAGTGGAGGCAGAGAAAGGCAAGGTGTTTATGCAGGTGAGCCTCTACGTGTGCTCAAATGCAGTGTAACCCACATAAAGACCACAAAGGCACTGGCATGTCCATTTAGTCCGAAAGAACATGAAGGCAACTCATTTTCATAGCCTTAGTCACCTCAAGAGAATATGTGGGCCCAGTTGCATATAGAACTAGGGTTCAGGACACAGATGCAGGGGCAATGGGAGGATTTACCAGAGACAGACTGGGGAGCAGAACAGGCAGATTGTGGAAGTACACTGCAGGGAGCAGGGGTGGGCAGACAGAGGTCTGCTGCGCCTTGTGGGTCACCTCTGCGGCCGGGATCGAACTTGCACTGAAGTGGCTGCAGCTTGCTTGCAGTGCTGTGCCACCAGGGAGGGACCTACGCTTTTAAAATAATAGTTAGAAAAATTAAAATAAAAAAACCTCTAGCTTTGTTTAAAAGAAGGAAGTAAGCCCTTCAGGATCTTGTCACAGCTTTTTGATGAGATTGAAGTGGATGATCAGAAGCTCAGGCTTCAACACAAGAGCAGTGAATGAGTTCTCAGACTTTTATCCAGATTTCTGTTCACACATCTTGCCTGGACCTGTTGTGTCTTGGACCTCCACTTGGAGTTTGGTCCTTGAATGCCAAGTAGAATTTTGAGCATTTCTTAGAGGTGCTCATAATTAGTAGTGTGTTAGGCAATGGGGTACTCCCCAGTTTGCTAGTTTAGAAAAAAAGTATCCTGATTAAGAATAGATATGTTCTCAGTTTTCTGAGAAATTATACTTTATGGCTAAACTTACATTATTCTTTTTTTTTTAAAGATTTATTTATTTGTGCATACAGAACTGGGGTGCAGGCCAGAGGCTCAGGGGCGGCGAGAGGCTTCACCAGAGACAGAGTGGGGAGCAGAACAGGCAGATCGATGAAGTACACTGCTGAGGGGAGCAGCGGGCAGGTCAGGAGAGGTCTGCCACGCCATGTGGACACCTCCGGGGCAGGCGGGGATTGAACTCATGCGGAAGCGGCTTTAGATTCTCAGTGCTGTGCTTTAACCCGCTGCGCCACCAGGGAGGGCCACATTATTCTTGTATTATTTATAAGGGAGTCCAAGAACTGAGCTGTCTCTCTTTTCAAACCACAAGATCATGGGAGATTGGTGAGGTCAGTATGCAAAAGTTAGTCAACTGGGAACTCTTCTCTGAGAGTTCATTGTAAAGAGATCCCCTTGAAAAGAGAGGTGATGTTAAAAAAAAAAAAACGTGGCATTCTTGCCTGTGGTCCACCCAGCAGCCACCTACTTTCTAAAGGAAATGACATTTTCCACTCTCAGTTCCAGGGCATTTCTAAATGGCGTAAAGATAATCTCATCCTCGCCTGTGACTAGTCAGACATAATTACGTGACACTTTTGGGAGCAGCAAGATCAAAAGAGAAAGACTAGGTATAGGTGCTTCCAAAATTATCTACCTTATTTTTCTGGGAGAGGTCTGAAGCAATGTCCTCTTTCAGTCTGGAAGTGAATGAGGAAGTGTGAAGTCTGGGAGTAGCTGTAGTCATACCATAAAAGCCTTGGGACCAAGCTCCCGCTGAATGTCAGAGTGGGCCCTCAGAGAAAATCAGGGTGCCTGATAGTTTCAGGACCTTCTGCAGAGATCAGACTCAGGAGCCTGCCCCACCTTGGGACTTCCCGCTAGATGAACTAGCACATTTTCTTTTCCTTTTTCTCTTAAAATGCTGTAAGTTGTCAAGTTTCCTGATATATATATATATATATATATATATATATATAGTTTATTTTTACATCATTTTGTGCCTTTTTCCATCTCAGTTGTAATCCCCATGGGCTTTCCATCACCAAATCACCTGTGTGCCATCACCATAGATCAGTGCACTTCCCTCCCCCATAGTTTTTGATCCCATTCCCCACTCCACCCCCATAAAATGTCTCTGGTATATAGTTGTTCATTATTATTATTATTTTTTCCCCTGGTCCTTTATACTCCTGCTAAACACCATAGGTATTTTTCCTTTTCTTCCTGGTTTATTTCCTTTTCTTCATTAAGCATGATCCCTACCAGCTCCATCCAAGTTGCTGCAAAGGACTGAGTTTCTCTTTTTTGGTTGCTGAGTAATCTTCCACTGTGTATATGTACCACATCTTTTTAATCCAGTCATCTACGTTTGGGCATTTGGGCTGCTTCCATGTTTTTCCAATTGTAAATAAAGCAGCAATAAACATGGGGGTGCAGGTATCTTTTTCAATCAGTGTTTTTGTGTCTTTTGGGTAGATACCTAGGAGTGGGATTGCTGGGTCGTAGGGAAGCTCTATGTTAAGCAGTTTGAGGAACCTCCAATCAGTTTTCCATAGTGGTTGTACTAGTTTGCATTCCCACCAGCAGTGCAGAAGAGTTCCTTTTTCTCCATATCCTTGCCAACATTTGTTGTTGCTAGTTGTTTTAAGATGGAACTAGCACACATTTTCGTAATGTTTAAACCAATTTTTTAAAAAGATTTATTTTTATTTATGCATATAAGAACTGGGGTGTAGGCCAGAGTACATGGCAGGGGTGTAAGAGGATTCACCAGAGACAGAGGGGAGCAGAACAGGTAGATCTACTGAAATATACTGCTGAAGGGTACAGTAGGCGAGACAGGAGAGGTCTGCTGTGCCATGTAGGTCAGCATCCTGACCAGGGATGGAACTCATGTCATAGTGCTGGCAACAGTTTGCTAGCACTGAGACGTTAACCCCTGTGCCACCAGGGAGGCCCTGTTTAAACCAGTTTGAATTGGGTTTCCTTTTTTTTTTTAAGATTTATTTATTTATGCATACAGAACTGAGGGGTACAGGCCAGAGGTGCAGGGGCGGCGAGAAGCTTCACCAGAGACAGAGCGGGGAGCAGAACAGGCAGATCGGCAAAGTACACTGCTGAGGGGAGCAGCGGGGGGGCGGGTCAGGCGGGCGGGTCAGGAGAGGTCTGCCACGCCATGTGGTCTCCTCCGGGGCAGGCGGGAATCGAACTCATACAGAAGTGGCTTTAGCTTCTCAGTGCTGTGCTTTAACCCGCTGCACCACCAGGGAGGGCCTGGGTTTCCTATTAATTGTACTCAAATACATCTCCAAGTGCCAGAACACTCTAACTACCATTGTTGTTACATCATCATGTTAGTTGTTAAGACTATCACCTAGAGGGCCCTCCCTGGTGGCTCAGTGTGTTGGGGTGCAGCACTGTGAAGCTAGCTGCAGCTGCTTCAGCCAGAGTTTGATCCCCGGCCAGGGAGTGACCCACATAGTGTGGCAGACCTCTCTTGACCTGCTCACTGCTCCCCTCAGCAGTGTACTTTATTGATGGTGAATCCTCTCACCACCCCTGAACCTCTAGCCTGTACCCCAGTTCTGTATGCATAAATAAATAGTCTATCACCTAGAAAGAAGTAATACCTACATTTATATTGATGCCATGATTACAATCTTGAAATAGTGACCATGAATTGGAAGGAGATGTGGCAGAATTACTAATGTTTGCCTGTAGGAGAGTCCCCCTCTTCTCTGTGACTTATTTTACATGTTTTCTAAAGTGATCTTGAGTGATATGTGTGGGGAAAAATGCACAGGGAATAAGACTAGAAGATAAAATGGTTGTGAAGACTTTAGAATCTTGGTTACTTCCCCCCTCCTCTCTATTTTCCAATTTTCTTATGTTTATTATGCTAGTTTTATAATTTTAAACTATTTTTAGCCCCTTCACTGAAACCTAAAGGAACAGGGAGTTTTTCCTCCTTGTTTATCTCTAATGTACACAAGGGAGGTTAATTTACACAGGACAGAAAATAAGAAAAGTGAATCATGCCAGGGCCCTTCCTGGAAGAGGTAAAAGCGCAGCACTATGAAGCTCTCTGCAGCCACTGTAGCATGAATTTGATCTACAAAGCATTGCTGAGACTAGCTGAGGGGAGCAGCGGGCAGAACAGGAGAGGTCTGCCACACCATGTGGGTCACCTCCCTGGCTGGGGATCAAACTTGTGCTGCAGTGGCTGCAGAGAACTCCATAGTGCTGTTCTTTAACCTGTTGCGCCACCAGAGAGGGCCCTATAATTACATATTTATTAGTGTGATTCTTTGATTAACACTTGCCCTCTCTAAACAGGACTTACCAACATATTGCACCCCCAATACCTATCATATGGTAAACATTCAACAAATAAAAATTGTTGACTCAGGAATGAATGTAAGAATAGAAACAGCTTGTCTAAGCAGTGCTTTCTGGAGTAAGTATTTCCAGTTAAAGGGGCAAACTAATCACAGGACTATATACCATTCTCTCTCATCTGCTGGTTATGATCTTAGAATGACATGTTGAGAAGAAAAACAAACTAGAAAAATAACTAGAATAAGCAGCAACCCAAGACACCTATTAAGTGAAAGTGTCTAGGACTGGAATTTGGAATCTGCATTTTTTTTTTCATTTGGAAGCTGCATTTATTAACAAGTGCCCCACCCAGATGATTCTGGAGCAGGTGGTCTAGGGGCCACACTCTGGGAAGTATGACTTAGAGCAGCTTCCCAAGAGAACCACACCAACATCAATGTGTCTATTTAATGTGAATCAGTCTTTATTTTGCACTTGTGTAGTGCATTAACAAATTCAACATACAAGATAGCATTACATATTGTAGGTTAGCATTACAGCATTATGCAATTTCACACAATTCATGTTAGCTTTTTCATTTTTGTTTTAATTTGACACATTTATTTTACTTTTGAGTTTCATTTTTACAAGAGAAGACACAAGGTAAAGAAAGACTACCACATTGGAGAGGGATCATGGTGAGGGTAATGTCACTGTCACAGCCATGATAAAAGCCGTCCAAGAAAAAGGACTCATGGTATTCCCTCTCTTGAGCAAGCCACCCCTGCCCCACAGCAAGTTCCATCTGTTTTCATATCTAGAGCACATGTACATTGTGGCCCTAACATTTAAGCCAGTTTGAACTGGGCTTCCTGTCAGTTGTCGCCAAAAGCATCCTGAGTGCCAGGATACTCTGACCACCAGTGTTGTTCCATCATCATGCTATTTTTTAAGACGATCATCTAGAAATGTGCTCCACTGAGAACTGAAAGAAGAATAACTCATAAGGGGGCTTTTGTTTTTAAGAAAAACTCTTGTCTTGCCAAAGGAATCAAGAGCTCAGCAGAGAAGGACTGACTCTTGGAAAATTAGTAGTGACCATTCCCTAACCTATTCCTGACCATGAACGCCTTGTGCAAAAGCCAGGATGTCACTCTCTTGTCTTTCAACCGACTCTTTGGGGGAGGCATTTCTCCTCCCCCCTTATCAGTTAGCTCTGGGAGGAACAAATGTGAAAGCCAAAGTCAGCTAAGAAACTTTGGGACAGCAAAGTCAAGGCCACGATGGACCAGGCCTGAGGTAGGAGGGAGGAACCTGCACTATCCACCTCTTTGCCTTTTTCTCAGAAAGACACGGAGGCAGCTCCTAGGCTACCAAACTACGGGTTCCTTCCCTGTCACCTCACCAGCCACTGCTCAGTAGACCCAAAGAATGCAAGGAGTAAAGCTACAAGGGTAGGGGAAAGAGAAATGGGGTGAGGCCATTTTCCCAGACTTATGTCAGGAGGAGCTACAGAGGCACACACAGCTGGGCGAAGACCAGACCATCTCCACCTGTTGCTTTGCAGTGTTTCTGGGAAGGAAACAAAAGTGGGTTGCTCAGCGATTTCTGATCTTTAGACATTAAGGCGATGAAGAGGAACCATTTAATTTTTTTCCTAATGGGGCTTCAGAATGCTCCTGTCAGATTTACATTAAACTATCTCAAAATGCATCTTTAGAAAACAAAAATTATTTTCATCTACGTATGATACAGTATTTACATTCAATGGAATAGAGGCTAGAGACTGGTGGTGGGAACCCAAATGACGATGAGATGATGAATTAGATTATGGGAGGTGAGGCTGACGGGGACAGAGAGCAGGACATTTGCCCGCTTGGAGCTGCTGTGCAGTGTCAAGCATCCAGGTTAAAAATGACAAGTGGGTTTGGGAGTAGATTGGTTTTAAATCTACAGTTAAGGGGACATCAAAGGCAAGATGACTGACCACTCCTTGGAGACTCAGCCTTTCAACTCTTCTCAGAACCAAGTTAAACATGATGCTCTCATGTGGGCCTTCAGCCTCTGCTCACTTTTCAGGTGCTGGCTTCAAGCTGCTACTCCATGACTTCTACTTCAGGCTGGTAATACCTATTAGCTATCAAAGGGACTTGTCAATGAAGTCTCTGCCACCTGAAAAGTCAGCATGAGGGCTGTGGCAGGACTAGGGAGACCTGAGTTCTAACCCCAGGCAGATGCTGGTGCTCTCTCAACCTTCACCGTCCACTGGCAGAAGGAAGGACTGACTCCCCAGCTCTCTTCCTTGCCAAGAGATTCCATGTTCTAAGAAGTCAGCAATAATTTTATTTCTCTTCTCCTTGTCCTCTTTCCTGCAAATAACATTGGGATCAACTGGTTGTGTTCATTCGTATTATCCTACCTCTGAATTTGAAGTCTCCAAAGCTCTTCTTAGGTAAGTCACCTAGTTTTGTAAACCTAAATTCTGTCTAATATCTCTACTGTATTCATCACAGTTCTTCCTAGGCCGCCCTTTCCCCTCCATAGCAGGAGTGTGGACAGCAAAAACGCCCCATTTCTCATCTCTCCCACAAACCTACCGTATCAACTCTACCTTTTGTTTGTTGGCTTACTACAAACTCTGGACCTTGAGCTCAGCCTGAGAGAGAGATAACAGGGAAAAAACATGGGGATGGTGAAAACATGAGGTTTTACAAGAGCAAAATATTCTGCAGAGGAGGGGACTGGAATAAAACTCCACAGAAGCCCAATGAAAAGAGGCCAATTTCAGGTAATCATTAGCAAATACAATTCGGCACAAAACACAATTTTCATGAATTAAAATCTGTAACTTGATATTGGCAGTTAGGCTAATTTCTTCAGTTTGTATTAGACATGCAAATATAAGGTTACATTGTTACATATAGACTTGTAGAGGTCTTTCCCTCTCTTTTTTCCCCATTAAAAAAAAAAGGATTTCTAGTGCCTTGCAAGGGAGAAAAATCATCATCGCTAAGAACCAATTTGCAGTGTGGTCATGTGGGGGTGGTCTTTGTGGGGCTTGTTTTGTAAGAAATTTTCTTCTACAACTAAAATGAGGTTTGAGTCCACTTCTGTCTGAGATCTCTCTCCCCGCCGCTCCCTCCCCAGCCTGGCCCGGGGTTAAGGCGAGGAGCCGAGCACAGGATTAGTACTCGCTCAGGCTGTGCCACTTGGCCACAGGCTTGCGGGGGCTCTCGCAGACCTCTCTCCAGTGTTCGGCCCCACTGGCCGTCACACTGTGCGCCCCCAGGATCAGCCTCCCCACCACCTCATTCTTGGTGGTACGGTCGAAGTCGATGACGAGGAACTCGATGCTGATGTCAGGCAGGAGGTCAGTGGGGATGTCATAGATGAAGGACTCATTGAAGACTGGGTTCAAAGTGCACTTCTTCACATGGGTTTTCTTCTTGGCAATGCGCTTTCTGCCGTAGTAGACGTTCACCTTGACATAAGGATCTGGCGCCCCCAGAGAGAGAAGAAAAAGGGAAACAGGCCTATGACACAGTCCTCTCCCACACAGTGGTGGATTTGGGTTGGGTTGAAGGGATTGCTTGTGGTTTTGGTGGCCACATGATCTCCAGTGACTGCACCCTAAGGACGCCCTGACTGATGTGAAGCTACCTGGTTGAGGGAATTGAGGAAACGGAGCAGGAATAGAACAGAATAGCTTCCTCAAGTGAGGGTGGTCAAGTGAGGTGTCTGCGACACCAAGAAACGTTTTCAAGGAGGTAGGGACTCATAAAATACCTGCAACCTTTTTTCAGCTGCCTCATTTAGACCAAGAGCTCAGGCACCATTCAGGACATTTAGGACCTCAAATGTAAGGACTCCATTTGCTCACCCAAAGCATTCCCCCACCAGGGAAATCTACAGGACCTACATATTCATCAAGCAGAGAATGCACACACAGAGAGGAATGAGTGAGAAGTGAAAGGGGCAACGCAAGGCTCCAGAGAGGGGTGTGTGTCTGGGGTGCGAGGGCCGTTCTTCAGATAGTCAGATAGGTTGAAGTAAATAGCTGCTACCTGAGAGACCGGTGATATCCATCTTCGGCAAGTGTCTGGCTTTGAGGACCACCACTGTCATTCTCTGTGCCACAGGCTGATAGGACAGAGACACCTGGAGCTCCCCTCTGCTAATGCACTTCTGTGGAGAAGAAAGAACAGGTGAGCCTCCAGGCACAGGAGCAGGGTGTGGCACAGAACAGGTGCAGAGGAGAGGGTAGGGGGCTGCAGGAGCCGGCACAGGCTGAGGCCACACTGGAGGCAAGAGATGCGCAGGGAGAAAAGGAAATGTCCTCCTTGTAATCACGATATTAAATCAAATCATTCAAAAATATAAGTAAGCCAAATCATTCACAAGGAGAGGCAGCGGAGCCTAACATTTCAGAGCACAGACGCAGGCCACACAGGCCTGGGTTCAAACCCTATTACACAAGTCAGGTCAGTTTCAGGAAGACACTCCCTGCTACTTCTTATCTGTGTGACCTTGGGCAAGTGACCAGGTATCTTGTACTTTAGTTTCTTCATCGATAACACAGACATTAAAATAGTACCTACCTCATAGAATAACTGAAAGGATTGAGTAAGTCTACATTTCTAAAACAGGACAGTACCTGGCATACAGTAGATAACAGAAGTGCATGCCCCCCAACCCCGTTCTCTCATTCTGGGGATAAAAAAAGTTTAGAAGACTGTAGAGTGAGAACCTGGGTTTGAGTTTCAGCTTTGGGACTTCCACCTGTCACCACCTGGCTTAGGGCAAGTCCTAGAACTTCCTGAAGCCTCTCCCCCCATTTCACAAGAGAAGAACAGTCACACCTGCCCAGCCAAGTTGGCTTGCCTCCCCCTGCCCCCCGCATTACACCGACAGCTTGGTTTCCCATTTTTAAGTTTTATTCTAGGCTCTATTTTGAACTTGAAAAAACTCTCTAGTCCAAGGACATTTTGAACAATTTAAAACTAACAGCTGTTAGCACACAAGGAACTTATCATGCAACAGAAGACACAGAGATATAAGTAAAAATGTACTTGTTAGAGAAGTAAGAAATCTGTGTTAAGTGCTGCTGGGCGGTTCTGGGAAGGCTCTGCCAGCCGAGCTTATCATCTGGGCTGACTTTATGGCGGGTGTGTGATTGCAAGGTGATGGCAGGGCGGCTGGCGTGGCTGGTGTGAGCACACTGGGTCCCTCAAGGACTCTGCCCAGAGACTAGGGAGAGGTGAGTGTGCCTGACGTTGGGGTACCTGGCAGGAGGGGTGGGCCAGGGACCTGGAGAGGTGGGTGCTCTAGTCGGACAGCAAAGTCAGCACACAGGCAAGAGCGGCCCATATGCACAGAAGTGACGACGTTCATGTGGGGTTGTTAATATTTGATTAATAACGTTATTATTGCAGTGGAAGCTGAGAATGAACTGAAGTGGAGGAAGCCTAAGGCCACAGAAGATTTCGATGATTCATTTTGGTGGGTATATGCTGTATGTAAAGCTGGTAGTGACTCTAATCTATTTCTTTTCAATCTGAGAATAATTATTGGAATATGTGATATTTCTTGAAGCCATGAAAAATACAAGGAATAAGATAGGAAAGTGGAGGAACAATTTCATCCCTAACTCAGTTTATGTCCTAAAATCTCACCTTTTTTTTCCCTTAGCCCAGCCTGATGCCCACTTCCTAACCTAGAAACACAAGCAACTGTCCCAATATTATCGACAAGAAATTGACCTTAATATCATGTGTAGCCAGCCACCCCAAACTGGAAAGCCCTGACAAGTCCTCCGGAACATCCCTCAGCCCCACGTGGGTCTCCGCAGTTGCCCTGGTTCTAGGCCGCATCATGTCTTCCTCAGCCTGTTGTAGCAGCCCCTCACCTGAGCTTCCCGACTTTAGGCTTCCTCCACTTCAGTTCATGCTCAGCTTCCACTACAATAATAACGTTATTAATCAAATATTAACAACCCCACATGAACGTCGTCACTTCTGTGCATATGGGCCGCTCTTGCCTGTGTGCTGTGACTTTGCTGTCCCACTAGAGCACCCACCTCTCCAGGTCCCTGGCCCACCCCTCCTGCCAGGTACCCCAATGTCAGGCACACTCACCTCTCCCTAGTCTCTGGACAGTGTCCTTGAGGGACCCACTTCTCTTGCACCAGTTACTCACAAATGCAGGGAACTCTGCTAATGGCTAGAGCTGAAAAGATGGGTAATGAGGAACCTACTGTCAAGAATCTCACCAACGAGGGCACTACCTGCTGGCAAATGTGTGGGGCAGGAAACAACAGAAAATGAGTTCATGAAGGGAGAACCTATATAGTTTGTGCTTTGACCATAAACCTGAAGTCGGGGCCCTCCCTGGTGGCGTAGTGGGTTAAAGCGCAGCACTATGAAGCTATCTGCAGCCACTGCAGCACAAGTTCAATTCCCGGCCAGGGAGCAGACACATATGGCATAGTAGACCTCTCCTGTCTCACCTACTGCTCCCCTCAACAGTGTATTTCAATCCATCTGCCTGTTCTGCTCCCCATTCTGTCTCTGGTGAATCCTCTCATCCCCCAGACCTCTGGCTTGTACCCCAGTTCTTGTATGTATAAGTAAATAAATCTTAAAAAGAAAAAAAACCTGAAGTCATCTTAAGGCATGAAATTGATAATATTTCACATGGATTTAAAAATATCTTGAGGCCCTCCCTGGTGGCGCAACTGGTTAAAGCACAGCGCTATGTAGCTATATGCAGCCACTACAGCTGTTCGATCCCCTGTCAGGGAGCTGACCCACATGGCGTAGCAGATCTCTCCTGATCCACCTGCTGCTCCCCTCACCGGTGTATTTTAGTACATCTGCCTGTTCTGCTCCCCACTCTGTCTCTGGTGAATTCTCTTTCCCCACTGCCCACACCTCTGGCTGTACCCCGGTTCTGTATACATAAAATAATTAAACCTTTTTAGAAAAATAAAAATAACAACAAATATTTCTTGACCTCTATTACAGGTCAGGGACATATGAAAATGTCTCCCATAGGGCATAGTACATAGTACATGATTAACTAAAATTTAATGTAGCTTTTAGTTTCTGGAGTTGAAGTATTAAAAATACTTCAATTTTTATACTGCTAGATTGAAGTCCCACATTTTGTACTTACCCATAACATATATAATGTCAGCTCTTGATTATAACCATGGAAAGTACCCTCAGCCAGGTTAAGGTCACTCTGGTTGCCCATGCCAGCTAATAAACTTCTAGGATGCTTCCTTTTGACATAACTTAAAACATAATCAGAACATGGAAACTCGTTTTCATTATTAGTCACTACCAAACAGCATCAGGAAAGTAATTCCTTAAGAAAAAGAAAATCAAATGTTTCCAAAAATATTCAAAGCTGGGCTATTCAAAGCAGTTCTGTTAGCTACATGCATCAGTTTCAATTTTTAAAAAAGGTTTATTTATTTATGCATAGAAGAGCTGAGGTGCCACAGATGTGGGAGGTGAGAGTATTCACCAGAGACAGAGCAGGGAGCAGAACAGGCAGATGGACTGAAATACACTGCTGAGGGGAGCAGCAGATGAGACAGGAGAGGTCTGCTGCACCATGTGGGTCATGGGTCACCTCCCTGGCCGGGGATTGAACTTGTGTTGCAGTAGCTGCAAATTGCTTCATAGCATCTTAACCCCTTGCACCACCAGGGAGGCCCCTACACCACTTTCAATTTTAATTATAATTCATTGAGATTTCAGTCACATTAGCCATATTTTAAATGCTTAAGGGTCACATAGGACTGATGCTGCCATATTGGACAGGTCAGAACATTTCCATCATCACAGAAAGTTCCTGTGGACAGTACTGATCTGCAAAGAACTTTTGGAATTTTTTTGGCCACCACTCCCTTCCATCAATAATGAAATGTTAACTAAATCTGACATCTACCTCTTGGCCCATCCTCAAATACTAGTATCTAAATACTAAATAAACAATCTTTAAATATACTTATACTTTATAGAGAGAATTAGATACAGAAAAGGGAAATTTGATTAAAAAAAGTTTCTGGGCCCTTCTTGGTGGAGTGACGGGTTAAAGTACTAGGAAGCTATCAGCAGCCTCTGCAGCACAAGCTCGGTCTCCAGCCACATGGCGCCGCAGACCTCTCCTGTCTCTCCTGCTGCTCCCTCACAGTGTATTTCAGTCAGTCCACCTGTTTTGTTCCCCACTCTGTGTCTTGTCAATCCTCTCACCCCTGCACCTCTGGCCTGTACCCCAGTTCTTGTATGCATCAATAAAAAAATCTTAAAAAAAAAACACCCAAAGTTTCATTTGTAAAAATATTGCTAATTACATGATTATATGTCAGGCTTCCTGTTTGTTTAAAACTCTGTTTCTGGCCCTCCCTGGTGGTGCAGCGGGTTAAAGCACTGCACTAAAAAGCTTAAGCCACTTCCGCATGAGTTCGATTCCCGCCTGCCCCGGAGGCTATCCACATGGCTCCACAGACCTCTCCTGACCCGCCTGCTGCTCCCCTCAGCAGTATACTTCATCCATCTGCCTGTTCTGCTCCCCGCTCTGTCTCCTGTGAATCCTCTCACCCTCCACATCTCTGGCCTGTACCCCTGTTCTGTATGAATAAATAAATAAATCTTAAAAAACAAAACAAAACAAAAACAAACCTGTTTCTGGGCTCTCCCTGGTGGTACAAAGGGTTAAAGCGCCATAGGCACTGCAGCATGAAGCTGCCATAGCCACTGCAGCATGAGCTCAACCCCAGCCAGGGGAGTGACCTATATGGCACAGCAAACCTTCCTGTTGCTCCCCTCAATGGTGTATTTCCGTAGACCCACCTATTCTGTTCCCCACTCTGTCTCTGAATCCTTTAACACCACCCCCCCACAGGCCTGTACCTCAGTTCTTGAATATATATCTAAAAAAAAAACTTAAAAAAAAATTCTGTTTCCTACATCATCTTTTATAGCAAGAACTTCCTAATCTCAATCCTGGTGCTACTTTGCTAATTCTTTGGGAAAGCGGATAACTTCCAGTTACCTTTTGAAAAATTTTCTGCCCTAAAATCAGGCAACAGTTCTCTATCTGTTCCCCACCCCCTATGTTTGGCTAGTTTACATGAACAGAATTTCCATTCCCATTTAGCTGCCCCTCTGTGATGCCCAATCTGCAGCCACAACACCACCTGAATGCCATCACCACACACTGAAGGAAGAATATAACCTCCCTTCACCCCTCCCCTTCTCTTCCATCCAATTCCCATCCAAGTGGCATTGTCAAAGGCTCTTTCTTTCCCCAGGGCTCTTTGTCAAGAGCTGGGAGAGAGCTGTTTCCCAGCCCCTTGGCCTAGGGAGGCAAAGACCCTGTGGAGGGCAGGCAAGCAGAAGAACAAGGGGGAGAAAGGGTTTTCTCTCTGCCTGACAGAGCTGGGTGGCTTTGCTCTCAGAGAGCACGCTTCTTTCTCTGCCCGTGGGAAAAAGGAACAGGAATGATGTTCCTAAAGAAGACGTCCAGATGAAGGAATAGTCAGACGGGAGCTAAGTCCTGTAATTACCAGAGTCCCTTCCAGAGTGATGTGCTGGCCACACATCCACAACAAACCTTTACTGGGGCCAGAAGTCTTAAATGCCACCTCTACATAAATCATGGGAGAACAAAAGAAACAAAAATCTGAATGTTCAACCACATGTTCTTTTGTCTTTTCCCTAGCACATGGTACACAGTAACTTTCTTTATAGTTTATTTCTTTATTGTTCCTGGCAAATGGACATTCTTTTTCTTCTTTTCTTTTCAGTCCCTTTTGGCTGGACTGGGTTGACCTCTAAGGTCCCTTGTAATTCTGAGATTTTAAGAATCCTCTCATTCCCATGACCATTGTCCCAGGTCATCAACAGCAGATCTGGCAGTGGAAAGACAGGAAATGGTCTGGAAAACAATGACCTGGAGAAGTTAGGAGAAATCTAACAGTGCTCTATTATCTATTTTGTAAATCACTTCTTTCCCACTGTCCAGCCTTTACCCCCACAGCCTCTCTGCACCGCCTTCCTTCTCCTTGGATACTTACAGCCCTGTGCCCCACAAGGGAATGCAAATTCACTTAATTTCTATCTGAATAAAATATTAGGGGATAAAAGCTGCTACTTAAACCAACAATGAAAGAGGGTGAAAAGACCTAGCTCCAAAGTCGAACTTGAGAGATTTGGGGCACTATAGAGTTTATACTACGAGAAAAAATTAAACAGAAAAAAGAGTTCATACTGTGGCCTTCCTTCACTAATTTTGAATGCTTTTTAGAGCCTTCTGAAAATTCACAAAAGCTAAGAGCGCTCTCACAAGGATACCATGAGCTTTCATGATGCAGCCTCCAGGGAGACCAAGGTTCACAGATAGATGGTCAAATGCACAGAATCAAGAATGACGACTAGTCCTGGGCTACTTCAACAGACTGCGCTAATCTATGACAAAACAAGGGTACATTTTCTGCTGAAGGTCAGAAGAGGGCAGGGTTGTCTGGAGAAATAAAACTCATCAGTCTCCATGCAGGATTCCTTAGAGGAAGATAACTTGGCCCATCTAATAAGTGAATGCCTTACATAGACCAGAAAAAGGTCTTTACAGATAGTGTGGAGTGGGCCAGAGCAGCTCAGCTATTTGCGAAGGGAAGTGCCAGGAAAGGCAATCTGTTGGCTGCAGAAGGGATGCTATGAGGTGGACATTTAGAGTCCACACTGCTAAAGAATCATCGGGATGATAAAGCAGGGAAGTGACACCATAGTCCAGAATGGAACAGTTCTGCCTACAGGTGCTGGGTGGGAAAAACGGACTTAAGCAAGCTTGGGAGGCTCTGGTGTGGGGGTATAAGCCTCTAGGTATCCTGAATGGGGCCTTTCCAAGGAGATGTGTCGCTCAGGATCTCAGCCCTAGCTTTTCCCTCCTGAAGGGTTAATAAAGTGGAAAGAAACTTGGCTCTTGCCAAGAGCCCCTGGCAGTTCAGCAAATGCCATTGTCTGTACGCATGGATTTGAGGTTGTTTTGTTCTCAGTCCAAATCATTCCCTTTCCTTGGCAGTCTCTTCCCAGCTACAGCTTGGCACAGAGCCATCCTCCAGCCTCAGCCTTGGGCTGTGAGTGCATGAGCTGTCTGAGGATGGCTGGGAAGTTGGTGGCTTTACCAAGACTGGGGCTACAGAGACTGTGTTGGCAAGGATTCCCCTGCAAGGAGAATGCTTGGAGCTGATGTAAAGGGGAGTGAGGGAATGGGAAGGGGATTGGCAGAACTCTGAGGACAAGAGATGGAGAGGAAAGGAAGGGATGCAAGGGGATGAAGTAAGTCATGGCTGCAGTTTCTGTCCAGCCTGTGACTCCGAACTCAAAGGGTACAAGAACCCATGTTGTGGGTTGTAGGATCCCACTGTATCCTGACAGTGGGTCAGTGTTTATGCCCTGACTAAATTTCTCTAATAGTCTTCAGAAGTTTTGGACTTCCCTGGCCATTATGAAGTGAAGATGTGGGATGACAAGTGACTGCCACCCGGCGGAGAAGCTAAGATGAAGAGGAGCCTTCCATACCATCACCCCCAACCCCAGCCCCAGGGCACTGACCTCCAATGGTCAAGCCTTGTCCTAGGAGCTTGATGCACATTCAGCCTGCTGTCCTAGAAGACTCTTTGTCTAGTCCTGTATCCCGCCTCCCCTACTAAGTCCAGTCTGGTTCCCCCACTGGCAGGTGGTAAAAGATCAAGAGGCAAGTGGGGCACCTCCAGGCAGGGCTCTTTCTGAGAGAAGTGACCATGGACCATGCTTTTAGTGACCCTGATATCCTTTCTCAATTTTGACCCCTTTCTCCACTGATTCAGGTCTCACTTGTCTTCTTCCACTTAGTCACAACAAAGTGGAAACATTTCGGCCCTCCCTGGTGGCTCAGTGAGTTAAAGTGCAGCACTGCAAACCGCTTCAGTTGTGAGTTCGATCCCCGGCCCTGGAGGTGACCCACACTGCACAGCAGACCTCTCGTCTTGCCGCTGCTCCCCTCAGAAGTGTACTTTGTCGATCTGTCTGTTCTGCTCCCCACTCTGTCTCTGGTGAATCCTCTCACCGCCCCTGTACCTCTTGCCTGTACCCCAGTTCTGTATGCAGAAATAAATAAATCTTAAAAAAAAAAGTGGAAACATTTCCGAAAAACACACATATCTCCCAGAAATCCAACTTTATTAAAAACAGAAAAAAAATTATAGCAACAACAATAATATAGGGATTACAATGTATTGAAGGCTTACTATGTGTGAGGGGCTATGGAAATTCATCATCTTAATTCCTGCAAGAAATGGATTTAGAGGAGCTGAGTGAAAGCTTTCTCATGGTAATTTAACTTGTGGAATTTGGATTCAAACACAGGTTTTACTTCAAAGTCCTTTTACCTGAAATCTGGGGGCTCAGATGATGAAGCAACTCATTAACCACTGACATATGTCCTGAAAAAGGACTCAAATGCTAAGCTGAAAGTGTCAGCAACTTCTTTCATAGCACCTCCCATCCCAGATGGCAAAATGGTAATTGCCCTCTCACTAAAGTAAAAGCTGCCCCAGGGCAGCAGCATGCCAGGTGCATGATCTCACTTAATCCTCAACTCCCTCAGGAGGAGTATCAGCTCTGTTTTACAGAAGGAGAACTAGAAGCTTGGAGGGTTACATAACTCACCATGTCACAGCTGGAACGGGAACCCAGACTGTCAGAGATGAGCTACACAGCATTTCCAGGTGTGGGCGAAATGAATAAACAGTGGGGGCACAGGGAGGGGCATTTCTTGTGCCCCTGAAATTACAACTCAAGAGCCAATGCAGGTCCGGGTGGGACAAGGCAGGTGGAGGGCTCCCATGCTCCTTCCAGTGCAAACAGGGAGGGGAGAGGACTGCTGAGAAGGCAGTACCTGTGGCAAAGTTTGGCCTGTTAAGGGGTTCACATGGCAAGCAGCTCATTAAATGGCAGGCATGAAATGGTTACTAAGAGGCGTGTAAATGAGACCATTATGCCCCTAGGCTTGGGAAAGGGAAGCTGAGGGGAAAATCACTGAGCTATTTTCACAGCTCCTCAGCTGTGAGAAGTAAGTCTATTGGATCCCCCCACACATCATTTTGGAAAAGAAGTCAACCCCCACACCCCCTAAAGTGATGAGGATCTAGGGCTGTGAGTCAACCTGCTCCAAGCAAGCTGGATGCCGCTTCAGGATGACAATCACTAAATGGAATTTCGGAAGGTAACTGGTCTCTTCAGGAAGCAATTTCTTGGAGGAGCCCTCACCTGCCTTACTGTCCCCCCTTCCAATCCTTGATGCCGAGAAATCCCTTGTCTCAGCCCTCGTGCCACCTACCCAATCTCCTCCCTGCTTCTGCTTGTCCCCTTGTCTCCCCCACCTGCCAACCCTCTCCAACACACCTTCCTCCTCACCTGGATGTTCCTTTTGATGATGTCCCTGGTCAGCTGTACTTTGCCTGTGCTGGGGTCCACTCCAGCCAATGGCACCATGACCTCCCCAATGACGTCGTCCCGGGAGAAGCGGTCAAAGCTGAGGACGAGGAAGTGCAGCACCAGGTCCTGCAGCTGGCTGTATGGAATGCCATAGAAGGTGAAGGTCTCGTCAAACACAGGGTCCAGGGTCTTTCGCAGCACTCTGGTCTTCACCCGGTGTCTCTTGTCGGGGAGGATGGTCATTTTGATGTAGGGGTCAGAGCCCTGGGTCTGGTCATCCATCACGGGCAGCCCATGGGCTTCCTGGATTGTCACCACCAGGGCTTTCTTCGGGAAGTTGTAGTCCACTGAGAAGGTGAGGGATCCCAGCATGACGTCCTCCTCTGGAGATGATGGAGAAGTGGTTTTGCTCTCCCCAGGGGTCAGGCTCGCCATGGGGCTCCTCAGTTCTTCCCCATAGTCCACTTTGATGGGTAATTGGTCCACACAAGATCCAGAGCTAGGTCCCCTGGGACCTTTCGCTTGGCCCAGCAAGCCAGCTTCTGCTGCGTCAACTAACAGATTCCCTCGTCCACCTTCCCTCCCAGGACCATCTTTGTCTCTCCGCACTTTGATGATTTTCTTTTTGTTGCTGAGGGTCTCTGGGTATATGCTTATGCCTTTGAGCATGTGAATAAATTTGTATGGTGGGGTCTTGTGCTTCTTTTGTGCCTGCTGGTGGCAGCATGTCCAGACAAAGACAGTCACTGAGACACACACCACCAGCACAGAGGCCCCTATGAGGCCAGCCACCACCGGTGACACATCTGAAGGTGAAGACCAGAGATATGTTAGGCAGATGGACCTCACCTCCTGAGCTCTCCTCCAGAGGGCCCCTGCTGGAGTCACACTAATCTGCAACCCAGCCTCTCAAGCAAAATCTGCTCATCTACACATTGGACTTAACACTTCTCCCTTCTCCTAAAGAAGCCCTTACCCAGGACCTCCCTGGTGGCACAACGAGATAAAGCACAACACTTAATCAGCAGCCACTGGAGCACAAGTTTGATCCCTGGCCAGGGAGGTGACCCACATGGTGCAGCAGATCTCTCCTGACCCGCCCACTGTTCCCCTCAGCAGTGTACTTCATCAATCTGCCTGTTCTGCTCCCCACTCTGCCTCTGGTGAATCCTCTCACCCCCACCCCCGCACCTCTAGCCTACCCCCTAGCTCTTATATGCATAAATAAATAAATCTTAAAAAAAAAAAAAGCAGCCCTCACCCATTCTCTTCAGCCACTCTATGGCTCTTCTGTTCCATCAACCTTGGATGAAACATTTGTCTTCTCTGAAAGACTTTCCTGAAGTGCCCCACCTCAGCCCCTATTCTTTTCTTTCTTAGACTTCTGCACTTGAGACTTGGTTTGCTCATATAGATTCCATTTTCACAGATGCTCTAAGAACATTTTTATCTCAACTGTTACATGAAGGTATGAGATGTATCTAATTTTAGGGGAATATCCCGAGCATCCATAAGGGTGTGCACACAGTGGGTCTGTGTAACTGCCTGACTGAATGTGGGGTAGAACAATGGGGGGGGGTGACTCTGGATGGTTTTGATATGGCACTAAAAGTAGCTGGATGATAAAAAGAAGACCTATATGCCTAAGTACTTTAAAAATGTGTTCCAGTGTCCTCCCTGGTGGCACAGCGGGTTAAAGCACAGCATTAAAAAGCTAAAGCCACTTCAACATGATTTTGATCCCTGCCCCGGAGGTGATCACATGGCGTGGCAGACCTCTCCTGACCCGCCCGCTGTTCCCCTCAGCAGTGTACTTCATCAGTTGGCCTTTTCTGCTCCCCACTCTGTCTCTGGTGAATCCTCTCATCGCCCTTGTACCTCTGGCCTGTACCCCAGTTCTGTATGCATGAATAAATAAATCTTTTAAAAAAATGTTGTTCCATACATCCATATAAGCATTTTAAGTAGGAACAAATAGGGACTGGAAAATATCATATGTTTGCTCACATGTTACTTTCTTAGTATATATGCTATTTAAAATTGGGCTTCCTGGTGGAGTAGGGGTTAAAGTCTCAGCACTATTGGCTATCTCCAGCCCCTGCAACACAGGTTCAATCCCTGGCCAGGAAGCTGACCCACATGACCCAGCAGACTTCTCTTGTCTCTCCTGATGTTCCTTTCAGCAGTGTATTTCAGTAGATCTGCCTGTACTGTTCCCCACTCTGTCTCTGGTGAATCCTCTCACCCCCTGTTTCTCTGGGCTGTACCCCAGGTCTTGAATGCATACATAAATACAATAAATCTTTAAAAAAACAGTCCAAATAAGGCCTCTAGTTTTCCACATTACTTTTTTAGGGAAGACATGGATAAGTCAGGAAGAACTAAGGATATAAATGTGGTTCCTGAACCATCCTACTACAGCTATCTGCCAGGCTCACTGTCTGATACACTGCCACCTGGGTTCAAACCTTACCTTATCAAAAAAACATTTCCTGACTTCCCCAAATGAGATAATACTCCCATCATCCTACTTTGTTTTCTTCATAGCATTTATTACCCTTGACATACATTTATTTGTCTGTCTTCCCTCACTGCTGCCATCTCTGGGCACCTGCAGTGGGGAGTCATGTGGAACCGCTCTCGCTTCCTCATCAAGAGGTACAAGCAAACATACAGCATTGACCTACTAACCAAGGCCTCCAAGTCCTTCTGCTAAGATGGGCTGATTCACTGTAAAACTGTAGGTATGCAGCTGGCGAGCCACAGCAAAGGTGTGGTGGTAATCATAAAATGGAGATTCTGTCAGCAAAAGCCTGTCACCTCCTGCATGTAAATCATCATCAACAAGAACACACAGCCACTCTCGGCAGCATCTGGCTCATGATCTGTAAGAAGTACCTCCTGGATCTGTGCATGACAGCCAATCACAGAGCCAGTGGCTGTCCAGCGAGAGGTCTGTTGTAGTGAACAGCAAGAGGACCCAGCCCACCGAGAACACCTAAGTGCATCCTGCCCAACCACCCCCTCCAACCCCAGCAATAAAGATGTCATTAGACTTTTCTCAACGACAAAACACACATGAAAAACACGCCAAAAATCCTGGTCTGATACTAGAGTGTTTCTACATTATGGATAATCAGGATAGTGAAAGATCTAGACATCATTTCAAATGATGAAAAACTGAAGAAACTTGAGCTGAGTGGTATCAGAATAATAACATTCTTCAATTATTTAAGGCATTTTGATGGAAGAATGATTTGATTTTACTTTGGAGAGCAGGCCCAGCACCATTGCCTACAGGTTATAGGAAGACAGATTTTGACTCAATAAAAAGAATCAAATTACCATTATTATTACCTCATGCTGGTCCAAATTAGTTCATGAGCAGTACATCTCCAATTGAAAGCTTTAAAACAGACATTGTATCACTACTGGTCATGCTGAATCTAACAGGAATTTCTTTAGTAGGGACTAAACTTAATGTCACTGAAGTTCTTTCCATCTCAAACATTTCATGGTTATATGAAAGCTGGAACCAGGTGAGAGGAGAATGGACTATATTTTAAAATAAAATAACATATATAAAGGAATATGACCTAACACTATAATAGTGATTGCTTATTGTCAGAGTATTAAGTGAAGTTAAGAGCTGTTAGGGAGAGGTTTCACAAAATGGGAGTCTTGGAGATAAGATCCTTGTGGGGAGGCAGAGGAAACACTAGTTTCATAACTGAATCATTGAGTCTCTTGCATCAGTAAATATTTGTTTGAACAACTGGTTAGATTCAATTGTAAATCAGAATGGCTCAATCTGAAAAAGTGGCTCTCTGTTCACCAATCAGGGACTGTCCTGAAATTTGCTGGCTAGTGATTAGTGAAACTCACCATTGCTCATCTCTATGGGAAGAAGAAAGTGCCAAGGTAGATTTATTTTTGAGAGTGATTTGAAAGGGAGAGCTAAAAGTGCCCAGGTGGGGTGACAGCTGGGTGATTCTTTTGGTTTCACTATAGATTTGCTCTGTGATCTTTATGGAACCATTGCTGCTGACAGGGTCTCTACTTGTATTGTTAGGAAATGGAAGTGGGCTGGGTAAGACAGAAGGACTCTCATCTTTCAGGAGGACAGAAGGAAACAAGACAAACAGATGAACCCATCTGCGGATTATCTTAAGTACTCTCCTTCACTGTTGCTTTTCTTCTTCATTTTAGTATTTTCTAACTGTTGCCTCTTTCCATACATTCACAGCAGAGAACCAGAAAAATCAAAGATATTGAATCTCAGTGCCCTCTTCTTCTTTAGTCAAAAGCTTGGTGGAACAGGAAAAGTGGAACTAATGCCTAACGTGACCATTTAAAAGTAACTATCTCACTTTCTTTGTCTTCAAGTTCAAGGATAAACTGAGTGTTAGCTTGGTACAGCTCCAACAGCCATAATATGGCACTTGAAATAAAGTGCACTATAAGATTTGCTAAGTTAGAAGTGAGGCCCTCTGTGCAGGTTTAATGATCTTTAGGATACACCTGGGGTTTCACAGCCTCTGAAGAGACCTGCCACTGTCACATCCTTGTCTAAAATAGCCTTTTTCTGTCAAGCAGGCCACTGTAATACAGTGAAATGAGAATGAACTTTGGCTTTAAGTGGACATGATTTTAAATCTTGGCACTACCCTCACTGGCTTGCCTTAGCCAAGTTATTTTAGCTCCCTGAGCCTCAGTTTCATCACCTGGCAAGTACACACACACACACACAATAATGCCTACACCAGAGGTTATTTGTAAGTATTAAATAAAATGTAGTATATAAAAGACTGACGAAATTTATTTTCTCTTTCCACTAATATTCCTGCTACATTGCACTCATACCATCTACTTTCTAACTGTTGCCAACTGGAACTGCAGTTAGAGAAAAGAATGTTGGAAAGAAGGCATGAAAGGAAAAATAAAGGCCATGGGGTGCTCATATGATCACAAAGAAACTTCCATTTTGGCAATATAGGTCAAAGAAAAGAGATGCGGAAGGTGAGGTGGGAGGAAGAACTATAATCAAGGGCCAACCTAGGGAAGTCAGTGTGATTTGGTGGCTAAAGGGTGTGAAGATCTGTTGTCTGGAAATGTTCCCTGATTTTCGGTCTCCTTGACATTGAAGGACTAGAGTACTTTGGGTTCTGTCCATTTCCATAAACCTCTTCCTCCAGATTGAGAAAAGCCATTTCATGGCTAGCCCAAAGCCCCACCCTAAATCCTGGAGTTCAAAACTTCTGAATTGTCTAAGGGATATACTCTCTTACGGGATATGAAGGAACACAAGGCTGGCTACAACACTCACTAGAATTACAGGAGAGATACGCAGGCTAATTGTTTTTTTTTTTTTGACCAGGAAAGCATAGCACAGGAAGTTTGCTACCCTAGCACATTCTGGAGGAATCTCCAAAGAGGAAAAAAAACTAGCTTATCAAGCTTTTCGTTCCCATCTTCTCCCTGTTTTCCACTACACTCTGCTCTAGGGAGTGTAACTGATCTTGGAGACCATAATGCTGTGTCGGGGACCAGCAGCTCCGAGGTGACGTAATGCTTTCTCTGGTACACAAAGCAGCCTCCCCCAGGCTCGGCCTCTTTCGCCCCTCCCCCTCCGGCCTGGATCAGGCCCCGCCAGCATCAGCGCGGGTGAGTTACCCATTTTGAAAAACCAGCCCAGGGAAACAGGGAACAAAGACCCGGGAAGGAGAGCCCAGGCGCTGCCAGGAGGCCCAGAAATAGACATCACGTCATTCGCCAGCCCAGCAGCGCCAAGCGCCATTTGGTAGCATCGGAGGAACCCCACCATTACGATGCAGAATAGAATCTGCAGGGCTCACGTTTCCTTCCAGCCACAGCATCCAGCTGACCAGCCTAAGGAGTGGTTTCCTTTTCGTTCCCCACCCCCACACCCTCTCCCCCCCAGGTTGCTGCCTTCCCTGGCAGCCAGCCACACACACATCCCACAGTTTCGAAGCTGCCATCTTGATGTCCCATCCCCCTTGCCACCTCCCTCCCCCGCAGTCCTGAGTAGTGGGAGGGGGAGGAAGGGGCACCGCCCTGCGCGCCCCAAGGGGGAGGGCTCGGCCTACCTCACCTCTCTGTCCCCAGAAGGAGGGGTTCCAGTCAGCCACAAACTCGTTCTTTCTCACCTCCGGCAGTGCTGACAGTGCATCACACAAGGTTTTAGCATCCTGGATCTCCCCACCCTCGGTGTGGCTCTTGTCTTGCTAGCGTCTGCAGCTCAAAGCTCAAATTCAGGCCCCTCCACTTCCACTGCCCCGCTACCCACCAGCACAGGCCCACATCTCAGGCCCATTTTAGGCAGGCCCTGCACAGGGCTTCACTACCTTTAACTTTAAGTGGTTTCGACTACGCGAGGTTTAGTTTGCCCGAAACTACTTACCAAAGCTAGGTCGGATATTGGTGATCTCAGCCATGTCGTAATCAAAAGCTTATTGCTATAAATGCTTTTGCAATGCTCAGCCAACTCTGGGAACCCCTTGAACAGTACCCAGACCTCTGCTTGTGAAGCAGCAGGTCAGGGAAGGGAGAAGGTATCTGGTGGATGCCTCCTGCGACGGTCTGGTCCCTGATTGCCAGCTGCGGTCTCCTCTTAAGATGCTCCTGGGATGCTCTGAGCTAAGGATGCAGGTACAGCCAGACTGGTCCTGATGCGAGGTAGGCTCCGCCTTCTTCCGAACGGGCCTCGTCAGAAGACTCCTCCTCTACCCGAAAAGTTCCGGAAGGCAGGACCCGCCCCTTTCCGGAAGCTCTCCGGAGGTGACCCCCTCCTGTCATCGAGACTTCCTGAGAATGAGGCCCCGCCCACCGACCAACTTGTCTCTGGTGAAAACCGGAGGCTTGAGTAAGAAAGTGTAGGTACATACCTTATGAGATCTTAAAGATCTTGTGATTCCGGTTTCCAGAGCTAAATATAGCATGAGAATGTTCTAGGTGAGAGGAGCCCAGGGTATTTAAGAAAAAAAATTATACTCTCTGCATTTCAGTATCAGCTGTCTTTTGTTTTTATGCATTTCTGAGACTCCAAAAGATTTTTGTGGAAGCTTTCTTAAGCTTAAAGACAAAACTTAGTGAGGGTTACACAACGAAGAAAATCTAGTAAAAATAATTTATTTATACATGTACACGGGTGGATTTTATAGTGTGTAAATTAAAGTAGTTACAAAAACAGACCAATGAAGAGTGTTAAAGTCAACAAGTGCCTAATTAGGGCAGTTTAGGGAGCGAGAAAAAGACAAGGGGTGGGGAGAGAGAAACAAAATCAACATACCTGGTGTATCTGGTTTCAAAGCGGGACCATGAAATTGCAAATTTCTAAAGTCTTCCTTGGCATTTGGGAATATTAGAGTGATTCAGATTAGAGTCACACTAGAGAGGTTATTTTCCTGCTTACATCGATTTCACCCTTCATTTTGGTTGATACTTTCCTTCTGTTGGATTCTGTTTACAGGCTGGATCAGGGCAAATGAGTTATTTAAATTGCATAAATTAATGTAGAATAAAAAAATTAAACGCATTTTTCTAATTTTGATATCCTTCTGGAAAGTGTATAGAAGAACATGGTTATAAGGAGTCATTCATTCAAAATACATATGTTGAATTTTAAAACATAGACGATGGTCTAGCCACCTTCCTGTGTACTGGATCAATGAACCAGAAGCTAAAATTAGGATACCTGATTCCCTTGAGAGCTGTATATCTTTGTGAAGTCACCTACCTAGGAAAGCCAGAAATTTGTACTGTGTAAACTGGAAGATACGGTGCTATCCATTGGGTTTATTGTGAAGATCAAAACACCTATGATAACGTAAGTAAAGGATTTTGTAAAGTGCAGAGTATTTTACAGATATAGTTACTATGAACAGAGTCCATGATTACTTTAGCTTTATTTAGAAAACTGCATTTTTGTAATTCAGAGATTTCTTGTTCTGAAATTGTATGTATTCTTCATTCCAGTGACTCACAGAAAGAAGGTTTAGATGTCTAACGAGACTGACTCTCAGTCTTCAGTTTTGGTTTGAGTAGGACAGGACAGACCCTAGGACCGAGAAAAACAGGCATTGTCTTTAAATTTTTTGCCAATAACTGACGCACTAGCTGTGCGGCTTCGGCGCGCCCTAAAATAGGATGGCGTCCAGGGGTTGGCGCATACTCGTTGACTTCCTGACGCCGCGCACCGCGACCGGGGGCGCGCACGTCAGTCGCTACCGTTGGCTGGCTTCCGGTGGCACCGACGCAGTTTCCGCGGGATCAGACCAGCTGGTGAGGAACTGGGTCCCGTGCACCGGGGCGGGAAGAGGTGGCTGGGAGCGGGTTGACCCGGCGGAGGATGGCCAGGCTGAGGGGCTGGGTCTGAGGACTGGAGTGAGGTGTGAGACTGGAGTGGGGTGTGAGGCTGGAGCGGGGTGCGTGACTGGAGGGACGGGTGTGAGGGTGTCTAGCTGGGAGCGGGGCTTGGGCCAGCGCGCGGCGCTGGTGTGAAAGCGCATTTCGCGCTCCTTTGGGAAGTCTGCCCCGGCCGGGGGCCCGCGGCGGCACTGCCTCCCGACGCGCGTTCATTCATCCCGTAGGTTGGCGGCCAGTCCCCGAAGGGGAGGGGGTCCCTTTACAGCCACTGCTGTTTGAAGCTCCTGGAGCCAGTCCCCACAGCATGACTTTGATAATAGCTGCGTTTCTTTTTTCTTTTCTGTGTAATCTGTGAAATACAGGACTCCTCAGCTACTCTCACACCCTTTCTTACACACTTACCCACGTGACACCTTCTGTTACAGTGATCAGCTGAGTTTTCTCTTGTTTATTGAGCTTTAATTACCAAGATAAGGTTTTGTTGGGTTGTGGCAGGCATGAGCGGGTCAGTCTCTTCTGGAGTTCTGAAGAAACTTAATTCTCTAACCTTATAGTTCAGACTTTTAGAGTTAGAAAGAACTTTATTTCTTAGTTCTCTACGCCAGGCTTTCATCTATTGCCTCTATAGAAGGGTATTTGCTGGAACGTTGTCAGTGATGAAGAACTCACTGTAACACAAGACAACTTATTTTATCTTTGCATCTATTTTATTATTTTTTAGAAAGGTTTATTTATATATGCACACAAGAAATGAGGGGGTGAGGGTCAGTAGAGGATTCATCAGAGACAAAGTGGGGAGCAGAACAGGTGGATTGACTGAAATACACTGCTGAGGGGAGACAGGAGAGGTCTGCTGTGCCAAGTGGGTCAGCTTCCTGGCTGGGATAGCTACATAGTGCTGACTTAACCCTTTGTGTCACAAGAGAGACCTTGCACCTACTTTATTAAGAGTAAGCTTTCCTGGGTAGAAAGATAAAATTAGTTTCCATGAATGCTTAACTCTTGGTCTAAATGCTGCATTGTATAAAGCACAAATAGCAAGTTCATATCCTTCATTTTTTTTTCAGGGAACATGTGGTGTGTTTGCACAGTAGGGCAGATACTACTGAGTACCAAAGGTATTAGTTGAAAGAATCTTTTCCTCAAAAAGACCATAGTTTTGAGGGAGGAAGATGGGAAGGAGACAGACAACTAATTACAAAAATGACAGCATCATAAAGGGGTTTGCAAACATTGCTGGAAGAACATAAAAGAAGATATCCTTCAATTTAACTTTGTGATAACAGGCATTGAAACCAGGAGTCCAGAAGAATCTTTCCCCTGTTTTCAATACAGGTGTTCTACTGATATTGCCTAACCTTTTTAAACAACTGCATTTGCTTTTGAAATTTTTTTGTTAAAGGAAATAACTGTGGAAACAATAGTAACAAGCATTTACTAATCTATTAAATTACCATTTAATGATGTAGGTGCTATTTTTATTTCATCTTATAGCTGAAGAACTGAGATTCAGGTTAAGTAACTTATGCAAGGTCACAAAGCTGGAGAAACTGATTTGGGAAACAAAGTCCAGACAGTTTGATTCCATAGTTTGCTCTCAGCATCATACTATTTTACCGCTCTGAGGGCAATAATAATGATTAACACTTACTAATCACTATTTACTTCTTATACCTGTAAGGTGAGAACACATTTTTCTTAATTGAGGAAACTGAACTTTAAAGAGGTTGTCATTCAGCCAAGAAAGATTGTGCATTTGGTGTGAAGTACTGTACATGTCATGACTGTACATGAATAAGTGAAAATGTGTGAGGAAATGTTACTATCATTAACAATAAGAAAACACTAAGGCCTTGTGTGTATTCTTTCAGGATGGAATACAAGTGGGTCTTTTAAAATGTTGCCCTGTAAGAAGAGGAGAACTACAATGGCAGATTCTCCACAGCATGAGGACAACCAGGAGGATGAAGATACAGATCTAGAGTCAACAATTAAACTAGAATCTGACCAGGTTAAAGACTTGGTGTCTGAGTCACTGTCCTGGGGTACAGTTCATGGCAGAGCAGCTGGCCTTGAAGTACAGTCTGTGCAGGGTGCAGGAAATCAGCCTGGTATGGAGGATCTATCTTTAAGCTCTTGTGTGGCACAAGATGCCCCAGCTCTAGAGGCTGTTGATGTGGCTGTCTCTCAGGGAGTCACACTGTCATCCTTGGAGTCTGTTGACATACACAATGGTAAAGGAAAATTCCAGACTACTGGCTCAAGGAGAGGCAAGAAAATGATTGTCAAGCCCTGGCCAGATATTCAAGAAGATAGTGGTGATCCATCTTCTATCACAAAGGATCCTCTTTCAGGAGAGCCTATTGAAGAAGTCAAGGAAGAAGGAGGTAAGATACAAAAGTGTTTATTTAGGCTACATTTTCTATGTTGATACTAGTTTGCCATTGTCTTTGCCACTGCATTCTGTGTGGTGCTTCTACAAAGTTTGACTTTGTAAATATAGAAACATAGTATTAATATTTCTGAAAGAGTATCCTAATTTGGTATGGAGTTGGAACTGCTATGAGTATATGGGTAACTTTATGAAGGGGGGTAACTTTATGAAGGGGGGGACGGGACTTCTCTTCTTAGTTCCTAGATTTTTTTCTGTATCCTTTTCCCTAACCCTTTAATGTCTGGCGGGATAAACTATGTGCATGTATGTATACACACACACACATGTCCTTTTGTTATTTTGTGAGTATCCAAGGAATAGGAGTTATGGAGGAAGGATAGTGACTTAACAGAAGAAATTACAGGGACATTGGGACATTGGGAAAAGTTAGGCAGAGTTGACATAAGCCTTAGGATTTGGAGGATGAATTGTAGTTTGTCAAGATGGTGGCATGGGGCGTTGCAGGCCAAGAATAATTGGAACAGAGGCAGAGGCAGAAGAGGTTGGTGATACAGTTGCTTGGAAGATGTAGTGAGAGATGACTTCATATTTGGAGAAAGTGCTTTTTATGAAGGACTTTTTCATGCTCAAGTATTTGAGGTGGTAGACAATATATAAAACAAACATAAGGTATAGTTCTAACTTCAGGAAGCTTATATAGGTTAGCTGGAAAAAGTGAGACAAACACAATTCTACTGGAGCAATCTAGATTTATGAGTAAGTGCTAGAGTATATGATACAAATAATTAGCTTTTGAAATTGGAACTTGAAAGATTGATAGGATTCAATAGTTTGTGGGGAAGAAGTAGAGCATTCATTGCAGATATGTAGATGTGTTTGTGAGAGGATAGCAGGATTTCTAATACAGAGCCTACTGTTAATCCCCTTGAGATAGTACTAAGGATTGGTATAGGATGTTGGCTATAAGGATGGAGAAGAAGGACTATATTTTGGAGACTACAGAGATTGATACCACTTAAGATATCTGGATTAGGGAATGAAGAAGCATATCTTCATGGGGAACATGCTTGAGGGGTTGAAATGAATTCGACTTTGGATAGATGGAGTGTGAGGTTACATTAGGACCATGAGGGAAAAGACTGAGACTGAAGTTTGGTGAGCTATAGTGTAGCACAGAAATTTTCCAAGAGTCAATTGTGCTTCTTCATGGAAAGGAACATGGAGGAGAAGAGCAGCAGATTGATGAAAGCCTTGAGTTGAAGAAAAGTATGTCAGAGAGGGTAGAACGGGTGAAATAAGAGTCAAAGGAGGGAAGAGAGTTTTAAGAACAAGTTAGTTTATTTAAAATTAAGTGACAAAGGAGAAATAAGGATAATGATGTCTGGAAAAAAGATTACTTTTGAAGGTTGATGATTTGAGAGTAGATTTAAGAAAGTATTTTGGGAAAAGGAAATTAGATAAAAGAATTAAAGAGGGAGGGTTAAAAACATTGGTGATAGTTTTGCATTGGAAGAATGGGAAGTACCTAGCAGGAGGAAGATTATTGGATTTTTTTCCTTTTCCTATCTAGGTGATGTTTGTTAAACATGTTAAAGTGCTAGAGAAGGAATGAATAAATAAGACAGGGTTCATTGTCATTTAACAGAGACAGTGGGGAGCAGAACAGGTGAATTGACTGAAATACACTGCTGAGGGGAGCAGCAGGCAGGACAGGAGAGGTCTGCTGTGCCATGTGGATCACCTCCCTGGCCGGGATGGAACTCTTGCTGTAGTGGCTGCTGGTTGCTTCATAGTGCTACACTTTAACCCATTGCACCACCAGAGAAGTTTTGAAAGCTAGTGATTTAAAAAAAAAAAAAAAAAAGCAAAGGTTAGTTCACAGATATCCCAGTGTAAACATTTACTGTTTATCTATTTTACTACTTCACTAGGCTGGATAATTAAAAGTCTATTTTATCATCTTTCTCTTTAATTATTTGTATGTATGAGTTATAGCAGTAAAAGAACATTATGGATGTCTACTCAGAATCCCTTTTCCCCCCAAGTAACCTTATTGTTGCACAACAAAAAATTAACATGTAAAACAGAAAAGAAGGAACAGGATGATTGAAAATTCCTATCAGTGAATTTTGGGAAATGTTAAAAAGTTTAAAGATGAAAATTAAAATTACCCATAATCTTATTACTTAGATAAATTACAAGTTAAATTTAGTGTTTAATCTTTTTGTTGTTTTGCTTTCTTTTCAGTAACATTTAGTTTTCTGATTCTGATTATATAGGAAAAAAACAGGAAACATTTGAAGCATTATTTTATTGCAGGTGATACACCATTAAATCATGTTTCTAGATTATTTTTTTAAAAGTTGATTTACATACCTTAATTTTAAAAAAAGATTTTGTTTATTTATGCATATAGAACTGGGATTTTATTTATTTATGTTTATATAGACCAGACCAAAGAAGCAGGGGCAGTGAGAGAATTTGCCAGAGACAGACTGGGGAGCAGAATAGGGAGATCAATAAATTACACTGCTGAGAGGAGCCGCGGGTGAGACAGGAGAGGTCTGCCTCGCCATGTGGGTCACCTACCTGGCCTGGGATGGAACTCACACTGAAGTGACTATGGCCAGCTTTGCAGTGCTACGCTCCAACCAGCTGCGCCACCAGGGAGGGATACATATCTTAATTTCTACAGATGGCCTTTACATTTTGATAGTAATTCTAAAAATTAGGTAGATTTCAACTTATATTTATGTGGGTTGTATATTTAGATTCAGCTAATTATTTCCATGTCAACATAGAGTTCTTAGACTGGTAGTAAGTTACAGATATGTTCTGAATAAGGTTTTTCCTTTTCTTTTTTCTTAAAGGTTTATTTACTTATGCATACAAGAACTGGGGTACAGGTCAGAAGTGCAGGGAATGAGAGGATTCACCAGAGACAGTACTGAGGGGTGCGGTGGGTGAGACAAGAGGTCTGCTGTGCCATGTGGGTCATCTCCCTGGCCAGGAATCAAACTCGTGTTGCAATGCTGCACATAGCTTCATACTGCTGTGCTTCAACCTGTTGCGCCAGAGGGGCCCAGTTTTTCCTTTTCTACTGCTCTTTATCTACTTCTAATACAATTTAGAATCTAACATATTGAGAAAGAAGGAAGAGTGGTGGTCATGCAGGGTTCTTAGAAATTTAATCGAGGAGCAGTTTGATAGGGTTAGAGGAAAAAATGACTGTGAGAAAAAGAATATTTTCTCTATTTATAGTGTATGGTGCAGTTGACAAACTAAGGGCAATTTTAGAGTAGCTATAAATAACAAATATATGATTGGAAATTCTATCTACTAAAATGAACTCTCTATCTCTGTGTCTCTGTCTCTCTCTCTATATTTAAAGATCTATTTATGCATATAAAAGCTGGGGTGCAGGCCAGAGGTGAGAGGATTCATCAGAGACAGAATAGGGAACAGAACAGGTGGATCTATTTAAAAACACTGCTGAGGGGAACACGGGTGAGACAGGAGAGGTCTTCTGCGCCATGTGGATCAGCTCCCGGGCTGGGATCGAACTCGCACCAAAACAGCCTTGCTAGCTTGCAGTGCTGCACTTTATCCTACTGCGCCACCAGGAAGGGTCCTAATTTTAACATTTTAAACAAATACTCACTACCAACCAGTGGACTTCCCACCCTTGCTCAAACACCCTCAACCCCTTCCTCTTTGGTAACCTCAGTTTTCTTGTCAATTATCTACACATTGTTATTTTGTTTTGTCCATTCATTTCTTTTGTTTCCTTTTATTGTATATGTAGATTCAGCTATGTCTTTCTATTCATTTATTTTACTTCATCTAATCCTTTCATGTTCCTTCCATTTTGCTGCAGTTCGCAAATTTATCTTTTTTTTTAAATAGCTGAGCAGTATTCCATTGTGTCTATATACCATAGTGTGTTTATCCAGTCATATGTCAGTGGTCAGGTAGGTAATTTCCTTAACTGTTGTAAATAATACACAATCAATATTGTGATACATATATCTCTGTGAATTAATGATTTCATATTCTTTGAATAGATACTTACAATTGGAGTTGCTGGGTCATTTAATAGCTCTAGTCTTAGATGTTTGAGAAAGCACCCCACTCTCTTCCAAAATGATTATACCAACTTACATTCCAAACAGTGTATGAAAGTTCCTTTTTCTCCATACCCTCACCACAACTTGTTACTGGCCTTTTAAATATAAGCCAGTCTCACAGGTATGAGATGATACCTCATTGTGTTTTTCATTTGTGTTTCTTTAATTTTTATTTTTTAAAAAAGATTTATTTTTTTATTTATGCATATAAGAACTGGGGTATATGCCAGAGGTGCATTGGGTAAGAGGATTTACTAGAGACAGAGTAGGGAGCAGAACAGGCATATGTACTGAAATACACTGCTGAAGGGAGCAATGGGAGAGACAGGAGAGATCTACTGCGCCACGTGGATCAACTCTCTGGCTGGGCATTGAACTTGTGCTGCAGTGGCTGTGGATAGTTTCATACTGCTTTTATTTTTGAAGAGATTTTATTTAATTTTGCAGAGAAGAACTGGGATATAGGCTAGAGGTGCAAGAGGTGAGAGGATTCACTAGAGATAGAGTGAAGAGCAGAACAGGCAGATTTACTGTTAAGAGGAACAGGAAAAGAAAGGAAAATCTCTTCAACAAATGGGGCTGGGGAAACTGAACAGGCACATGCAACAGAATGAAATTGGATCACTCATATAAAATCAAAGTGTATTGAATACCTGAATGTAATAATCAAAACCATAATACACCTCAAAGAAAACATTAGTGATACATTCTATGATTCAGTATTAAAGATGTCTCTAGGGACTCCACTTTATTAGCAAGGGAATGAAAGCTAATCCAGGGGTTAAAGTCTCAGCATTACCAAACTATGCAGTCACTGCTGCATGAGTTCAATCCCCAGCCAGGGAGGTGACCCACAAGACACAACAGACCTCTCCTGTCTCCCTAGCTGCTCCCCTCAGCAGTGTATTTCAGTAGATCTTCCTATTCTGCTTATATGTCTGTTCTTATATGCATAAATAAATGAAATATCTTAAAGTAAAGCAGGCATTTATCCATTTTCAGTTGGGTGGTTTTCTTTTTACTGTATTGTGTCAGTTCTTCATACATCTTGGATATTAACTGCTTATCAGATGTATGATGTGCTATATCTTCTCCAATCAGTTGGCTTTCTGTTTTGCTGATGTTTTCTTTCACGTGCACAAGATTTTTAAACTGCTGTGTAGTTCCAAATGTGTATTTTTGCTCTCATTTCCCTTGCTGATAGAGTGGAGTCCCTAAAGACATCTCTTATGCTGATATGGAATGTACCACCTATGTTTTCTTTTAGGTATATTATGTTTTTTTAGTTTTACAGCCAGGTATTCAATCCAGAGATTACATATATATATATATTTAAGATTTATTTATTTATGCATACAGACTGTGGTACAAGCTAGAGGTACAGGGGTGGTGAGAGCATTCACCAGAGACATGGTGGGGAACAGAACAGGCACATTGACTGCAATACACTGCTGAGGGGAGCAGTGGGCAAGACAGGAGAGGACTGCTGTGCCATGAGGGTCACTTCTCTGGTGGAGACTGAACTCGTGGTTAAGTGGCTGCAGAGAGCTTCATAGTACTGTTCTTTAACCAGTTGTGCTACCAGGGAGGGCCTTGATTTTATATTTTTGTATGGAGTTAAAGAGTGGTCCAATTTCATTCTTTTGCATGTGGTTGTTCAGTTTTACTAGCTCCATTTGTTGAAGAGATTTTCCTTTCTCTGTGACATAGCTGGTGCACGTTTATCATAGGTTAAGTGTGATACATGCGTAGTTTTATTTTTGGACTCTTGGTTCTATTCCATTGTTCCATGTTTCTGTTTTTGTTACGGAATCATAATGTTATAATTATTGTTGTTTTGTAATGTAGTGTGAAATCAGGTAATATGATGCCTCCATTTTTCTTACCCCCTCCTGCCTGGGGATTGAACTTCTGCTGCAGTGGCTGTGATAGCTTCATAGTTCTGTGCTTTAACCTGTTGTGCACCAGGGAGGGCCCACTATTTGGGTTTTTTTGTTGTTATTCTGTATGAATTTAGTACATTTCCCCCTTATTTCCTTAAATATATCACTGTAATTTTGATGGTTAAATACATTGAAAGGGTAGTGCTTTTGGCAAAATCACCAATTAACAATATTAATTTTCCTATCTATAAACATGGAATAGCAAGTAACTCTTGGTTGCTTTGTGTCTTGTTTTACTGCTACATGTCTTGTAGCTTCCATTATAAAGATCCTTCATTTCCTTTGTTATATTTATTCCTAGGTATTCATCTTTAATGGAATTGTAAATGAGATTATTTCCTTAATTTCTTTTTCTTTTAGCTTATTACTTGCATATAGGATGCAATAGATTTTGTATATTGATTTTTAACCTGCTACTTTACTATAATTCATTTTTTCTGATAGCTTTTTAAAAAATATTTATGCATATAGAACTGGGGTGCAGGCCAGAGATGATGGGGAGGTGAGAGGAATCACCAGAGACAGAGTGGGGAGCAGAACAGGCAATATACTGTATTGCAATACACTGTTGAGGGGGAGCAGCAAGCCAGACGGGAGAGGTCTGCTGTGCCATGTGGGTCAACTCCCTGGATAGATTTGTGGTGCTGAGACTTAACCCTTGCACCATCAGGGAGGCCCCTGAAGTTTTTTTTTTTTCACTCTGTAATACACAAACATGGAAAAAATTTCATAAATACAGAAAGTACACAGTGAAAAGTTAGGCACCTTTTTACTCTCTCTTTTTTCTCCAAGTTCTTTTCCCAGAAACTCTCTCTATTTAACAGTTCTTATGTATATTCTAGAGGTATCCTGAATAGAAACAATCATAGATATTCTTTTGAAAAATTGATTTCTAGTGTTTAAAGTGAATGTTTTTTTGCCTTTTTAGTGGTATTCCCTTTCACCGTGTTACCCCCAAAGAAGGGTAACATTGTTTGTAGTTGAGATGAGAAAGGAGGAAGTTGTCTAGTGATCTGTAGAATCATATATTTGTAATTTTGTGGTGATTTTTATGCTTCTGTAAGATTTACAGAGTCAGAAAGTTCAGGACATTTTCTGATGTTGCATTCTATTTATAGTTAATCAAACATGGTATCAATGTTTATCTTATAGGCTCAAGAATATACCTGCCAAAATTATGAATCTGGTTTTTCCACAGGGAAACAATTCAAGAGTTAAGGTGTATTAGAAAGAAAGCCCTTAGCAATCTAGTTCAACTCTCTGACATGACAAATGAGTAAAGTGATCTGAGCTTTGATTTTAGTATTTTTCTTTTAGTATTTTTTCTTGGGCAGCTGTCTTCATGAGAGAGGAATACCTCTGTACTATATGCTTCATTCATGAAGTTATCTAACTAGACAGGATTTTATCCCTTGATGCTGATTTTTATAACAGAGTATTCTTGAGAATGGGCAAAGTGTGGAGCAATATTTGTAACTCTTCCAGGAAAACCTCAAATGCATTCTGGAAGGGAGCTGCCTTCACTGCCCTCTGGCAGCAACTCTGCAAAACCAGGAGCCCAGCCTAGGAAACCAGCTCAGCCAGATGTCTATGCTTTACCTCAAGAGAAGCCCCTCAGGACTCACCAAGCTGAGGAAGAGATAGACGATGGTGGACTCTTTATCCCAATGGGTAGGCTTCCTTTTTCTTTTCTTTCAATTAAAAAACCCTGCTTTATTGAAGTCTGTTATGTAGAAAACTGCAAAAGCCTAAGATACTTAAAATACATTGAATTTTCTTTTTTTTTTCAAGTTCTATTTGTTTATGCATACATAACTGGGGTAGAGGCCAGAGGTGTGGGTGGGTGAGAGGATTCACCAGAGACAGAGTGGGGAACAGAACAGGTAGAGTGAGTGAAATATACTGCTGAGGGGAGCAGTGGACAGGTCAGGAGAGGTCTGCCACGCTGTATGTGTCACCTACTTGGCTGGGGATGGAACTGGTGGGGAAGTGGCTGCTGATAGCTTCGCAGTGCTGCGCTTTAACCCATTGCACCACCAGGCAGAGCCCAAATATTGAATATATACTCATATGGCCGGCAACCAGAACAAGAGACAGAATGTTGTCAGTGCTCAAAAGTCCTGTCGATTATTGCCAACACCCCACTATCCTGACTTGTAGTAACATAGATTATTTTGTGCTTTCTGTTAGTGAGATGTATATATGGTTTCATGACTGCCTTTTCTAGTCAGCATTACGAAGTTGAGTCATATGGTTGCGTATGCTTGTAGAGTGTTCATTTTCGCTGCTTTGTAGTAGTCTATTGTTTGAATACTTTACATTCTTTTTATTAATTCAACTCAATGGGAATTTTGATAGTGTACAGTTATGGCTAATCTGTATGGTGCTGCTCTGAGCATTGTGCTGTAAATCTTTTGGTGAACATATGTACTTTCTTTTCCTAGTTTCTGAGTTTTTATCATGTTTAGACTTTCACCAAACTTATTTTTAAATCCTTGTTGATGCATGTTTTCCCTCTTTCATTCTGTTAATGTGATTAGTTACATTTTTTTAATGTCAGATTTACTAAGATAAAATTTATATATAGTTAAATTGAATCAATGAATTTTGAACATGTGTATAGTTGTGTGACTATATACAGTATAGTCAGTATATAAGACATTTATCTTCCCTCAAAAGTTTCTTCATTACCCTTTCAAATTCAGCCTTTGGCAACCAGTGATCTCATTTCTATTACTAAGTCTTGTATTTCCAACATTGTCATATTTATGGCAGCATGTTAAACATAGCCATTTACATCTGTTATTTTTGTCTTTATTACTTTAGCGATTCATTCATGTTTTATTTCTTTCATTGCTGTGTAGTAATCCACTCTGAAGATTTACCACAGTTTAGCAGTTTACCAGTGGATGGACATTGTAGTTGTATCCTGTTTTTTCCTGTTATGGCTATTGCTGCTATCCACATTCACATGTGGATGTTTGAAAGACATACATTTTCATTTTGTTGAATAAATAACTATGAGTGGCACTTCTGGGTCTTAAGGTAATATATGTTTAACTTTTAAAGAAACTGCCAGAATGTTTTCTAAAATTGCCTGTACCAATTTACATTCCCACTAGTAATGTGTTGGGTTTGCAATTGATCCATATCCTTGACAGCAGTTGTTAAAATTATAAATTTTATCCATTTTGATTGGTGTATATTTCCTTAGGATTTTGACTTGCATTTTCCTACTAAATAATAATACAGAACATATTTTCATGTGTTTACTGACTATAGGTCTTTTTTGATGAAGTGGTTATTCATTATTCTGTCATTTATCTTTATTTCCATTGTCATTACATATCTTGAGGGCGATACTTTAAAACTGCATATATCCATTTCCTCCTTAAACCTTTGCTAATTTTAGATCACTTGTAACAATTATTACTGTCTCAGTTATTTTCTATTTCTTTCACTCTTTCTACATTTATTAATTAAATTTCTTTCCATAAGAGTTGTCCCTTCTCCCTTATTTATATTTTATGTTCATGGACCCATGGACATTTGTTTTATTATTTGTGTGATAATGCAATACTTTAATCATTTATTTTGTTTAAATTGTTTTAGCTTTAGCTATGAGAAGCTACTTTAGGTTTTATTTTATTGGTTTTGCTTTCAGTGTAATGTCAGGGTGTTTTTTGCCTGTTTCAAGGTCACTATTTTTCTGTCTCCTTCTAGAGGTTTATATAGTTACTCATATTACATTTAGGTATATGGTCCATTTAAATGAATTTTTGTATAAAGTAAAAAGATTTAAAGATTTATTTTATGCAGTACAAGAGCTGAGGTGCTGACCAGAGCTGCAGGGAGGGGTGGGTGAGAGGATTCACCAGAGACAGAGTGGGGAGCAGAACAGACAGATTGACTGACATACACTGTGGAGGGGAGCAGCTGGTGAGACAGGAGAGGTCTGCTGTGCCATGTGGGTCAGCACCCTGGCCAGGGATCAAACTTGTGCTGCAATGGCTTCTGAAAGCTTCATAGTGATGCCTTTTGACCCCTTGCACCACCAGGGGACTTTTTTTCTTTTTGCACATGAATGTCCAGTTGTTTTGGCACTATGCTCTTGAAAAAATTCCTATCTTCTTAAAATTTTGCCTCTGTGAGAAAAATCACTTGGCCATATTTGTGTGTGTCTTTTTGGACTCTATTCTGTTCCATTGATTGATGCCAGCTTTTTACCAATACCACACAGTCTTGATTACTATAACTTTATTGTAAATCTTGAAATTAAATAGTCTGAATCTTCTAACATTTTTTCTTTTTTTAAAACAAGATCTTTGGACTATTCTTAGTCCTTTGTATTTCCATATAAACTATAGTATTGGGTTATCATTTTCTTAAAAACTACCTGCTGGAATATTAATTGGTAGTGTATCTGTGAATCAATTTGAGAAAGTTACAGTCTTAGCTAGATTGAGTCCCTACTAACTTACGGCTAAGATACATCTTTTTATTATTTAGACCTTTTAAAATTTACCTTAGCAATACTTGGTAATGCATTTTAGTTTATCAATTTTTTTTTACGTGTTTTCCTACATTTATAAAACACTTAAGGATTTTCTTGCCAATGTCAGTTTTTCCAAGTTTTATTTATTTGTGTATATAGAACTGGGGTACAGGCCATAGGTGCAGGGTTATGAGAAGATTCACCAGAGACAGAGTGGGGAACAGAACAGGTCGACTGACAAATACAGTGCTGAGGGGAGCAGTGGGCAAGTCAGGAGGATCACCCCTGGCTGGGAATCAGACTTGTGCTGAGATGGCTGTGGCTTTGTAGTGCTGTGTTTCAACCCACTGTGCCATTCAGGGAGGACCTGCCAATGTCAATTTTTCTTTTTTCTAATTATTGCTATATCTAAAAATTATAGTAGAAGATATCCTCAGATATCTTATGACTTTGCTGTAAAATTACATGGTAGCTCTATATACTTTTTTTGTAGATTTTGGAGATTTCCTATGTAGGTAATTATATATGAACAGTTTCTTCATTTTCTATTTGTATGTCTTTTCTAAACCTGCGAGCTTTAAATGGGTTTTGCCATCCACCACATCAAGACAAAACATATAAGACCTGGAAAGGAACTTTAATGAAACCAGTGTGCATTACAGAAAGACAAAAAATATAGTTTCTAAATCAGACACCCAAGATGACCCATCTGCTTGTGTATTTAAAAGCCCACCTAAAAGGGACTGGTGCAAAGCAAGGCCTGAAAATCTGCCTCAAGTCTAATGCACCTCCCTAATGCCCTCCCTGGTGGTGCAACAGGTTAAAGCACAGGATAAGAAGCTAAAGCCACTTCAGCATGAGTTTGATCCCCGCCTGCCCTGGAGGTGACCACATGGTGTGGCAGACCTCTCCTGACCCGCCCGCTGCTCCCCTCAGCAGTGTACTTCGTCAATCT